TCTGAGGGTACCGCCGCCGTCCTGTCAAAACCAACGCAGAGCGCCCACAGGGTCCCAAAGCTCATGCAGTTCGGAGGGGTGGATGGAGGGGATGGAAGGGTCCTCAGGGCCAAGGCAGCAAAATTCTAGACGCTTCGCTTCGCTAATGCTGCAGCGGTTAGCTGCCACACCTGGGTGCCTACCGTGCCTGGCGTGTCTTCCCCTCCTCTGCTTTGTTTCACCAGGTTTATCCCGCGCGGCGGGGGGTGCCGCCAATACTGCTGTCTGGTGGTGCTCTGACAGCCTGAATCCCACCAGCCCTCTGGGCGTAGGTGGTTTAGGGAGTTTCCTCTTCCACCCCTCCTTCTTCCCCTTCGGGGAGGGGTTTACCCTCCCCTACCCCCTTCCCTGGACCTGGACGGGGGGCGCGGCGACGCGTTGGAACGTCCAAGATGGCCCAAGACGGCTCCAAGAGCGCCTCGGAAAGCCCAAGATGTCCTCCAAGATGGCTTTAGATGGGCCAAGATGCATCAAGATGGCTCTGAAGATGCTCCAAGAGGCCCCAAGACCGCCCCAAGACGGCTCCAAGAGGCTAAATAGCTCCCCAAGGAGTCCTCCAAGAGGCTAGAATCCTTCAAATACCTAAGGAAAACCAATGATGTTTGCCTTCTCGTCTTTTCGCTTCCGATGGCCTTCCGAAGCCCAAGATGGCTCCAAGAGGGCCCAAGATAGCCCCAAGAGGGGCCCAAAGAGGGCCCCAAGACGGCCCCAAGAGCGCCCAAGAGCGCTCCAAGAGCGCCCCAAGAGGGGTCCAGGAGGCAATTTTGGGGGCTCCCGAGGGGTCCGCAGACGCTCCCCGAGAAGACGTCGGGAGACCAACATTGGGCAATTCTGCAAAAGGAAAGCACAAAGTTGCAGCTACCGCGCGCTTGAAGTCTCCACTGCGACTACGACGGCGCCCGCGGCGCTCCAGGGAGGCCACAGACGGGCCACGAAACCCCCAAGACGGCCAAAGACGAGCCCAAGAGGGCTCCCCAAACGACGGCCTGGGCGGCCTTCCGGAGGAGGCCAAGAGAGTGCTTCGCGTGCCAGAGGGTTCCACGACTCCCAAAAAGGCCTCGAAGACACACAAATAATTTGTTTCCCGTTGGTTTTTGGTTGTTTCTGTTGGATTCCGCCGCCTGCCGACGTTCCACAACAGCCCTAGAAGGACCAAAGCTCGTCCCAAGACGTTTTCAGAAGCCCCCTCCAGGGCGCCGTACTGCCCAAAAGGCCCCAAAGACACCACGAGAGACTTTCAGAGCAGCACCAGAAAGGCACCGGATCGCTAAAACATCACCGCCAGACGCTCATCACGCCCTCCAGGTGGCCCCACAACTGACGACGACGACGACGCGCGAAAGAGACATAGTCGGGCGGGCGAGCGGGACATGGGATGCAACTGGCACTCGGTGATGGGACGGCGTCGAGGATCGGCTGGAGTGTCTCAAAGCGTCTGGGGGGGAGCTCTGGGGGGCCTCTCGCCTCCCAGGGCTTCCTTGGGGGCCTCTCGGGGACTTATTGGAGCCTCGTGGGGGCCTCTCGGGAGCCACCTGGGGCCTCTTGTGGGCCTCGAGGGGCGGAGAGCTCGACATGTCGGTTCGTGATCCCCCTCTGGGGTTCCTCTTGAGGCGGTCTTGAGGCCCTCTCGGGCTGCCTTGGAGGCCTCTTGGGCCTCTGGGGCCGTCTCGGCGCCCTCTTGGGGGCCTCTTCCTGAGGCCGTGTTTGGGCGATATGTGCCGCCCCCCCCTCACACCGCCTTGGAGCGTCAGGAAGCAGAAAAAACAGAAACGCGAAAATCAATCAAGAACCAAAAGAAAATCAATGATTGCTGCCTCTTGGAAACCTTGTGGGAAGGCTCTTGGAGACCCCTTGGGCCGTGTTGGAAGCCTATTGGGCCGTCTGGAGGTCATCTTGGGAGTGTTAGAGCGATGTCTCGGCGACTCTGGACATTCCTGGAGGCCTCCTGGGGCCCTTTTCATGTGATGTGGAGCTGACCTGGGCCGTCCGGGGGCGTCTCTGGCGGCCTGGCCCCCCCGTGCGCTGTCGAGGGCTCCGTCCCAGGCTCCCCCGCCTCGTGCCCAGCGATTTGATATATATATATATATATAAACACACACATGTATATATATATATATATATATATATATATATGTATATATTTATATGTATATCAGAGTGAGGGGGCCGAACGGTCATTCACTGTCCCTGGGTGCGTGGCTGATGTGGAATTCCGCGGTGCGGATTATTGTTGTTGTTGTTGTTGTTGTTTGTTGTTGTTGTGTTGTTGTTGTTTGTTGTCGTCGTCCCACCCGCAACCCGCCCCGCGACCCACCCGCGACCCACCCCGCGACCCACCCCGCGACCCACCCGCGACCCACCCGCGACCCACCCGCGACCCACCCCGCGACCCACCCCGCGACCCACCCCGCGACCCACCCCGCGACCCAACCCGCGACCCACCCCGCGACCCCCCCGCGGCCCACCCCGCGACCCACCCGCGACCCACCCGCGACCCACCCGCGACCCACCCGCGACCTACCCCGCGACCCACCCGCGACCCACCTTCGACCCAAACCACGTTCAAGGTACAAACCACAATTTTCGGCGCCTGCGGCGGGCTTTTTTTGCATTCCTTCCAAGTGGAGAGCCCGCGACACATCCCGTGACCAACTCGCGACCAACCCGCGACCCAAACCACGTTCAGGGTACAAACCACATTTTTCGGCGCCTGCGGCGGGCATATTTTGCATTCGTTTCAGGTGGAGAGCCCGCGGCCCACCCGCGACCACGTTCAGGGTACAAAACACATTTTCGGCGCCTGCGGCGGGCATCCTTTGCATTCGTTCCCTGTGGAGAACCCGCGGCCCACCCGCGACCCAAACCTCGTTCCGTGTACGAACCCATTTTTTTGGCGCTTGCGGCGGGCTGCTTTTGCATTCCTTCCAGGTGGAGGTGGAGAGCCCGCGACCCACCCGCGACCTAAACCACGTTCACTGAACAAACCAATGCCGCACAAGCGCGGCGGCGGATTCTTGCATGCCGTCTGAGCCCGCAAGGACCTCTTCACGCTCCGCACATCCACGCCAGCCCGTCCAGCAACTTTGCCTTGGCAAATTGCCTTGATCAGAGAAGGCGGGGAGCATTAAGTGGAAAAAGGATTGCGTTGCAGCTATCTTGGGAAAGGAGGGGAGGCAGGATGAGTAAACAGGGGGCGAGGAGAACGTGGAAGAAGAGAGGATGTAAGGAGAACGTGGAGAAAGAAAATGAGGAGGAGCAGGAGGACGAGGGGGAGGAGGGGGAGGAGGGGGAGGAAGAGGACGAGGAGGGGGAGGATGGGGAGGATGATGATGATGGACGACAATGGGAGGACGATGATGGAGGCCGATGAGGGGGAGGACGACAATTGGAGCACCATGCTGAAAAGACGAGGGGGGAGAGGGAGGACGAGGAAGAAGAGGAGGAGGAGGAGGACGAGGTGGAGGAGGAGGATGACGACGACGATGAGGACGAGGAAGAGGAGGAGGAGAAGGAGGAGGAAGAGGAGGAAAAGGAGGAGGAGGAGGTGGAGGAGAGCGCCATCGACAAGGAAGGTGGGGGCCACGAGGTCCGCCAGCTCGACGACGCCCGCGTCGCCCGCGCCCGCCCCCTCACTCTTATCCGCAATTGCGGGGTGCTACGTATAAACACACACACACACACACATTCCTCTTCCTATATTTTTGAAGCCCGGGCAGGGGGAAAACCCGTCACACTCCCCCCCCCAAAAAAAAACTGGACTCCCGAGATCTGAGGCTTTGGGACCCTCCGGACGGGCCTCGAAGCGGCCCCCCGGGCCTCGCAGGGCGTTTCGCCAAGCCTTCCCAGCACACCTAGGGCGATCAGGGGGGTCATCGCAGACCCCCCAGAGACCCCCAAGACAGCACAAGAGCGCTCCAAGAGTGACCGACGTGACCTCAAGATGGCCCAAAAGGCCTCCAGGACGGCCCCAAAGAGGCCTCCAAAAGCACTCCCAAAAGGCCCCAAGAGGCAAAAATCGTTAATTTTCTGTTGGTTTTTGGTGAATTTTGGGGTTCTCCTCTTTTCGGCTTCCCGACGCTCCAAGACGGCGGTCTTCTGGGCGTCCGAAGCCGCCTGGGAGGCTCCAAAATCGCCCCACAAACATCCGAAAGGGCTTCCAGGCAGTCCAAGAGAGCCCCAAAACGGCACAACACGGGTCCAAGATGGCCCTCAGAGAGCCCCATGGCGGCCCAAGATGGCCCCAAGACACCCTCCGAAGCATTCCAAATCGTGACCCGGTCGTTCAGGGAGACCGCGGTTGGAGGCAGGGTGGCCCGAGGAAGCCCCCAGAGGCCCCCAAAATACACCCAGGAGGCCTCCTGAAAGCATTCAGAAAACCTGAAACAACTTTTGTGAGGCCCCCAGAGGCTCTCCAAGGAGGAGCCTCCGCAATAAAGAGCTGAGGAGGATGGGGAGAATGCGCAGCGTATGGCGAAAATGAGGAAAAAG